TTGAACAGAGGGACAGAGAGCGAAATAATAGAATACTTTCAGCATCCTAACTATCCATGTCGAGCGTTTCAATTCGATAGCAATGCAGGGGGACCAAATCGAACACATGTCGAGTTCTACGTCGCGGTAAATATTAGATCATCCCACCAGTTCGTGCTGTTTATCGTTCTGCCATTTAAATTGATGTGTGGAACGTACCTTTAAGTGTTATGAAAAAAATGTGATCGACTCTCTGTGCTGTTTTTTTTTTTTATAAAATATAAACACAATCTGAGACAAGAAGGAATGACTTGATACAATAAATGATTACAATTACGTGATAGATTTCAGTTGTGGCTAGACTCCAAATGTTTATGTATATTTATTATTAATATATATATTATATTTTATACATATAGCAAAAGGGTTGCAAAAGGGTTCTAATTATATTTCGAAAGAACAACGGTTTTCTGAACAATTCGGATATTGTTGATATCGCATATAACTAAACTTATATATTAAACGTTGGCAGTCTAGTTACGACAATCTTAGTTATAACTGAGTGAACCCATTCGTTTATACACAGTGTTCCCAGCGCGTTGGACACGCAGTAAACTCTAACGCAATTTCATACTCGCGAAGCATTGCCCAGGAGCCATCAGCTCGTGAATCTAATCTGGTGGTGTTATTCATCCCCTGGCCAGCTGGGGACTTTTCCAACTTCTGGCCAATCTCACCACCGGGGCTCGAAACTTGCAATTCCGATGCATCCGATTAAGGGAACCAGGTAGACGAATTGCTCCAAAATAAACTTTTCTTTGGGAATTAATTCCGGTGGAACGAACGCAATCCCACATCTGTCTTTTTACACGACGTTTCATACGTACTTCAGAGATCGACGAATTTTTCATACATAGAAAGAATAAGCATCTTGAAAAAAAATGAATACCTTTGTAATCCTGATTCAGATATCCACAAAATCATGAATTTTTAAACATATACAGGCGCATAAATAATTTCTCCACCTAATAGAAAGAATAAGCATCTTCAAAAAAAAAAAAAAAAAATCAATACCTTTGTATTCCAGATTCAGATATCCACAAAATCAAGCATTTTTAAAAATACACAGTCGCATAATTAATTTCTCCACCTGATAATTTCTAAAAGTGACTGTCTTGAGAGCAATTGACCCGGTGCCTTTAATTCACGCGCCACACTCGCCACGCATTTCATTTTCCACGAAATATTTATATTCCCCGCGAATAAAATTCTCGTCTTCCCGTCGGTGGCGTTCGATTTAAAAACACAACGACCCAAGTACGAGAACATTTAAATTCCGAGCGTCGGAAATTGTCCCGCTTTTGCATACTGGCGCAGGGACTCGCTTCGTTACCCCTCGCGATTATTGCGCATAGAACAGAAAGCACCTCATATGGCGCATACCGAGCTGCTGCACTCTCGCGACGATATTAATATCTCGTGTCGCGATGTTATATTAATACAGCGCACGCACGGAATACGTTGTTCCGGAAGGATATCGTAAATCGTGCGCCGAGGACTTTCTCTTGCTCTATGACCATTATCGTGGCCGAGGGGGATGAAGATGATCCTGCCCTTAAGGGGACAGGACGCTGTAGGGGCACTTTCGAGAGAGGTATATTCGGAAAATTTTTACGAAGAAACTATGCAATGAATTGTTTTCCAACTTTCGAATGTCAAAATATCAAAATTTCGAAAATATTTTATCGAATATTTAAACAAAGAATTAGGAGTCGAAAGAGAGACGCCGGTGTTCAGATGACAGCTTTGTGATCATAGGGTTTACGTGAAATGCGAGTCACTATTGCAATAAAGTGGAAAATTAATTATTTGAGTAAAGAATTAAATAAAAGAGGCAAACTAATTTCTAATAAATTTCTGCTGCATTATGTCTGCTTAAGACATATGAAATCTTCAAGAAAAATGTTTATTATCCATTCCAGATTAACACTACTAAAACCATTCTTGATTTTATATTACACTTTGCATCGATGATTAATTATCATTATGTCTACGCTCACCCATTCAGCACCCGCGGCCATAAATATCGTAGAAAGTCCTCGCGGAACCCTTCGTAGCAATCATATACGTCTATACGTTTACAGCTTTTTCGTTTCGGGAAAGTTTAGCCGCGGCGTTGATTTTACCAGAGCCCCTCCCACGACTGTATTCAAATGAATATTCCAGTTAGGTAAAACCGAGTTGGTACATAAAAGTGCGGGATTCTGTTTGCCGCCAGATAAATTATATCCGGCGCCGTGGAAACTTTTATAAATACAAGGGTGAGTTGGTACAACCCTGGATGTTCCTTGTAATCAGTTAGAGTGACGAAAGGAAAAAAAAATAACCCTCGAAGCTAGGAGGATTTTCACTTACAGACACAATTTTTATTTGTCGGGGTAGTCGAGCGCAATCCCCATTTAAAATTTTCATACGTTACTCCGTTATGTCTTTTTCTAGAATTTTATTGGACGAAAAAAGCATAAATGTTCGAAAGAAATCCTGGAAAGGAAAAAAAAAGAGGAACCCTCGAGGCAGAGATTTTTCACTTGCGAACACAACGTTTATTTTTCATGGAATTTTATAATCCCCGTTTAAACTTTTCATAAATTATTATATCTGCTATAATCTTTTCTGAACAACTTCACCGCGCGAATGTTCAAATGAAAATTGCGACAACGTCATTTTCCTGAAATAAATTCTTGTACATTGGTTTATGAAAACTCGCCAACGATTTATCGTTTCACGGGAATGGTATCGCCTTTACGTTATCGGCAGAGAGGCGAGCGCATCTTTTATACTGAAACTACTGTCGCATAAATAAAAGCAACGGGCTAGCCGATAAAGTGTCGCGTACATCGATATGAAACTGCATAAAACATCGTTGTACGTTACCAACCGTACCGCGTATATCTTGTACGACGCAACGAATGTCAGTTGTTAACTGTCGGCCGTGCGATGAAAACTGTCAAGGGGTATTGATGATAGACCGGGGTGATTGATGTCAGTGCGAATAGAAACAAATGGACTGATCCGCCAAAGAGATTCCAGGTGCGACGTGTAATTATCGAAGCTACTTTGAAATTAACTTTGGTACGGTCGAAGTAACTAAATTTTTTTTTTTTTTTTTTTTGGCACGGTGTACATTATTATATCACCCAATTTAATTTTAAATAGAGATTGTGTTAACCTCTTCCGTGCTTGCATCTACGTTCTTTTTTAATTCATTTGAAATGCATTTAAAATCTCATTTGTAAATGAAACTCTCAATTTATTTAAATAATAATATTCAAATACTCAAGTACCCGAATTTTATTGGAATAAACATATTCGAGTAATGATGCTCTTCTTTCCTTTACTTCAGTAAAGAAGCGAAAGACAATAAATATTTGACAGTGAACCTGGTTAATTACAATCTGAATGGAACTATCCTTGGGGATTCTAGCGAAGTAACAGAAGACCCTTGTCGCAATGCCGTGCCAGAAGTTCTGCTCCTTCCGAAAAGATCGACTAATCGAAGATTCCGAATGGCTGGCACTCGCGCTGCGAATGTTCTTGAGAGCTCATCGTTTATTAACAAATTTCACGGACTTCTTTAGGTCTGTTCGCAGTTACTTAATTAGCGACCGTTACAAAGTACACCGATCTTCTGAAATGTGTGGTAAAAATTAGGTTCCACGTGAGCGGATGTTGCTGCATAGATCACGATAGGATTCCTTTGCACGGAGCTTTAGATGTCGTGACCATGGCAATGAAGACACAGAGACCTGGACTATTTCAAAATACGTTTCCTTGCGTGGAACGTCAAGAAACAGAAGATTTGCCCGATTGTATCGTTCACAAAGTATTTTCAACAATTTATCACAACGAATTCTTGCTTGCGCGGTCGATCCTCGATATATCATTATTCGTAAAATTATTGTTATAACCAGGTAAATACACTCGTGAGATGCCTGCAGAAATGTTGTGCGATCGAGAGCGTCATAGACGACGTAAAAGACGTTATGTACATCCTGGAAGAATGTCCTTCAAGTCCCACGTCAGAGAGACTTCAAACTTTGTCCTTCGTTCTAAAAGAAATAACCAAAAACCTTGCTTGCTGTAACCAAAGTTTAGAAGGTGATGTCTGCGTTATATAACGATTGTATTTCAATAGAATCTCGATAGTTGCAAGAAGAACAGAACCGAGTAGCACGAAAGTTTCGAAATTCGCAAACATCGAGGTTCTTCTGTAATTGCATCGATAATTGAACCTGTAGGGACTATAAAAAGCGTGAGTAACCATTGGTATAGCAAAAGTCGTTAGAAATATGGCACATTAAATAATTAGCTGTCGTAAAGCGTAAGGTTAATTAACACGCGTTGCATCCCAGAAAGGATTTTTCTTCGCATCGCTAATGAGATTACGGGGGTCGCTAACGAAGTGCGCATCGGGCATGTTAATTCTCGAGCTTTATACAATTTTTATAACGTCGTAGAACGGCTCCATTGCGCGCAAACGAAGTTGCTGCTGCGGCTGGTCAACCATTTTATTCGTAGCTGGAGCGAGAAGAGGCCTCGAACGGGAGCCTGCGTCAGAGTTTGCAGATTTTGCGATCAAGTTGTCAACCTAACGGCTCGACGATGGGTGGGTGAAGTTTCAGACAAAGAGCTTTGAAATATTTTTAAAATAATATACAGGCTGTGGCAATAACTATTACCACCTCGGATATCTTCATGTTCCACAGAAATATTTGCTGAAATTCTTTTCCAGGGAACGTTTTGCTGCAAATGCGCGCAGTTGTACAACACCATCTGCGAGGAGTGGACTCTTCAGCAGTCGATATCGGTTAGTTTCGTATATATAACGTTACGCTGAGCTGTAAATAAGCTTCTGTCGTTAACAGGGCGCCAGTAAGGACGAGTCCAGCGACGAGGGAATAAAATCCAAGTACTCGAAGAGCGGACCGTTTGCAGACGCCGACAGAGATTACGCTAGGACTTATCCAGAGGACTGGAAACGATTCCAAGTGCCAATCAGTATCCGGGCGTCGCAGCTCAGTCGCGTCATGGATTATTATTCCGACAATGCGCGATCCAGTGACGAGGATAAAAGCGTAGGTATCGATGGCAGCTTGCAACGATCAGGTGATCCGAGGCCAGCGATGGAACGTTCAGCTCGTGGTGTAAGTGCGACACGTCGAGCAGGACCTGGAGTGCCCTTGAAAAAAGCAGAGCTGGGAGTAGAGAGTCGGAGATCGGATAAATTCGACGGGGATTTAACGAAGACGTTGGACAAGGACGAAGAAGGATCTGCTGGAAAAATGAGGAAAATTAAAAGGGTCACGGGAAAGGACCCTGATTGGCGTCAGCGTGAAGTTGACGAGGTCTCAGGGAGTCTCAGAGACACGGATGAAAGTGGAGTTGCTCGATCGCGAACAAGGGGGAGGGGAACAGCGGGGAAGAGATATGACAGAAATCGCAAATCTGCCGATGACGAAGAATTCGAGATCGATGATTTCTGGCGACGCAAGAAGAAATCCAGTCGAGGGAAGAAAGATCAGAATGGGAAGGTGCTTGAGGAACCTGGAAGACGAAAGAAGCTTTACAGGTGAGTGATCAGGTGTTCGTCACATTTCATCACGAGTACATTTAGTTATGGATTTATTTTCGACATTGTGAGATAAAAGAAACCACTAAAATTGTAAAGAAATAAGTATAATCGAACAACAGCAACATCTGTTTGAATTTTTGTTCGTTTTAAATAGAAATTCATCCCTGGAGAGGTTAGATGTGTACACATGCATAATATACAACCCGTACATTAAATGAAACTTTTGCTACGCGTCAAAAATTTCCCCATGGAACTTTCGGGGTTGAAGGTCTTCGAACTCGCTTCTTCCAGGAACGCCGTCGCGGATAGTCAAACGGAGGAACGTGTCGGGAAGATGGACGACACCGAGGACGAAGGGAGAACGGCCGGCCAACGAGGCAGAAAGAAATCCCGAAGAGGAAAGGACGACGGAACGGAAGAAATGGCGGATACAAGCGAGAGCAAAGGGACACGAGGGCGAAGGAAGAAAAAGTCAGATGCGTTTGACAGCAGAAGGAAGGGGACGTCTTCCAACGACCTTGATGAAGAAGAAACTGCCCTTAAGGGTGATGGAAAGCGGAGAGGTCGCTCGAGCGAAGAACGAGAAGGAACTGATTCTGACTTAATGAGAAAACGTAAAGCCGGTGGGTGCATTTTGTTGGAACTTGAGATTATTGGGTGCTACTATGTGAGAGAGTTAAAAAGATCAGTGCTTGAATCCAAATCGAATATTTGAATATTAGAATAAACTTCGAGTGATCGAGCACTCGGATAGCATTCCACTGCATTTGAACGAAGATTTAGTCGAATATTTTATTAAGAAATAGTCCGGTTTTGTTAAAATATTAAGGAACCCTTGAATATTGCGTTAATAAAGAAGCCCAGGACTCGAGGAGAGAATTAAAAGTGAAGCACTCACGGCTTCTCGTTCCTTTGACGGCGAGAAGTCTCGCGTACGATGTATGGAGCAATAAGCATAATGTCGGAATTAAATTTCCCCTTGCATGCGAAAGGTAAGGCACGCGGTACGAGCGCGACGGATAAATCAACGCTTGATTCAGAGAGCCACGGTAAGAAGGAGACGAACAGGGTTAGCAAGAAGAAGGAACGCCGACTGCTGGATTCGAGTAGAACGGACGACGATTACAGCAAGATAAATGGTTCTCGTTATCGCAAAAGGAACGCGAGAGCTAAGGGGCTACACGATGTCGAAACTGGTGAGACGAGAGTAATTCGATTTTTTCAAATTGACGAACAATTGCCCTCTTATTTCCGCGAGGAAATTAAGAGAAACGAAATTATCGAAATTTTTAGAGAGAGAGAATTTGATAGAGAAACAGAGTAACTGGTTTTGCTGTGGCTTTATATTCCGAGGATAACCTTCGATTTATATTTATCGAATTTTAAGTACCAAATTCGATTCGTATACAATTCGAATATTCGACTACCCTTAGCAAACTCTTGAACTGATTTCGAGTACGATATCTCGTTTTGGCAACGGCGATATCTAACTCGGCGTCATTATAGAGATTCCTGATACAATGAAGATCGATTGAAGTCCGATACCAAATCGTCATTAATGGGGAACACTTTGCCTCCGCGAACGTTCAGTCATCATTATCGTATCGTATCCAAATAATGCGGTTTACGTATGTACGGTACGCCAAGTTCGCCATCCTCGTGGAATTCCTCTGTTCCAGACCATCGGAGCTCGATCGAGTACCAATTATCAGACCAGCACTTCGTGGAGCAGGGCTGGACCGTACTGCCGATTGCCAAAACCATGAGGAAAATCGTCCAGTACCAAGCAAAGCCAGCGAAACCTCATCTGAACTGGTATGCGAAGCGACTACTGTGAATTCTGCCGCAACCATAGCACAGATTATCCGGTATTTCGCGCGGTGGAGCACCCTTCTTATATTACGCGTGGCAACCCTTAGCGGCGTTAGGATTATTAGAGACGGATTCGAAAATCCTGGAATATATCACGCGTAAAAATTAATTCTGTGGCTACATTCGATTGTTTGTAACTGTAAGTTTTCAATATTATTTTTATTACGATGAATCTGTATGCATCAGTATCAACCTGGTGGACGGTATAGGTGACTGAAAATAAAAGTCGGGGTGTTTTCATCGAATACTTAGGTTTATCGATCGGAATTCATCGTTGTATTTAAACTAGCGTTATTGGCCACGCTGCTGAGTTCGATTAGGGGACCACGTCATCCGTGGTACTAGATCGTGCGAAGTAGCTCGTTAAATGTTATGCATCAACGAATCGACTTCGTAATACTAACATGGGGGTTATCCCGATGGCAACGATACGCGAGCTCGTACATTTCCCAACGCATCGAACCATTACCAGATAAGTATACAGGGTGTCGCATAGCGCACGAACACCCCTTTAAGAATGATACAAAAAAGAAAGTTCTCATAAATTCACCTCTGATTTCACCCTGTTTCGAAGTTATCCACTTTGCATTCTATCGACGCTAATAAGAAATTAATTCGAACACACGCCGCGGTAAACATGGTAAAAATTTACTAACTCGCAATAATAGCCAACTCTGGGACAAACTTGGTAGATTAGTGGTAACGAGGGAACTATTAGCTCGAAGCGTAAAGTTAACAAGACGACGTCACAGACGGTGTCTTGTCCTAATCTGTTCCTGCGGGGTAACTTCTATAGTTCGTTGGCGATTAATCATTAATCTTCTCGGCAGGTTCAAGAAGCACAGATACGATGGGAAAGTGTATTACAACGATGGCTCCGCCGTTTTCCTCCATTTCCGTACCGATGGATCTGGACAAGTGTTTTATCCAAATGGGGAATTGGCTATCGATGTCTGGAGACTGGATCATCGAAAATGTAATCATAATAGCAGAATACCGATTTAGTCTAAGTGGAATCGATGCTCTTGTAGAGAAACGTAAACTTAGGGCGGAATTAATTTCGTGATTATTCTAATCGCGGTAAATCTAAATAAAAACAATTCTAACGATGCTTATTAATGAATATTTAATTATAACAATATTCATCGATATTTAATATATTTATAAATATTATTATAATTAAATATTCACTGAAATTGATGAGTAATAATAATCAGCACAAGTGGAAGTATACTTTTAAAACTCGCCACTGAAAGAAAATAGATAGAGGTAATGTGATTCTATCGCTTTATCTCGCTGTAAAAATTGTCACTCGAAAGGGTATTGGTGTAGTAGCTTCTAGCTCAGTAGCTTAATAAAGACGAAGTCGCGAAGACAGAGGGATGGTACAAATATCGTTGAAATCGATTTCAAGACGATATGTGTACTGTGTTCACCCCAGGAGGCAAGGATTCCATGGGTGTGACGAGAAGATCGCAAATTGTTGCAATGTTCGACACCACGGGCAGCGGTGTTGTCTTCGATCAGGACGGCGCGACGAGGTCCGTGCACGAAAAGAATTTCGCAGGAATTTTTAATTACTGTCGGGGGAAGTCGAGACACCTTCAATTCAAGTTTCCAATTATTTCTACAGGCTGTCCTACAATCAGATTGGAGGAATTTGGAGGGATAATCCGGCAGGACCGCCGCTGACGTGGAAGTGGGACATCGACGAGAAGGAGTCGATAGTCAAGATTGTGTACGAGGTTAGTATCGAAGATGGATAAAATATTATTCAAATACTACGAATTTCCAGATGAATAGCTGACTAGTATATAATGTATTCGAACATTTGAACAGTCGAGTACCTGGATTGTTTCTAGAAGTCATGTATTCGAATACCATCCAAGTAATTGACTATTTGAATGTTACTCGAATACTACTCTATACTTAAGTACTTGGATATTTCATTCTCTCCCAGGAGAAGCCAGCTGCGCACTTGGAGAAACTCTTGCGCCCTCCACTGAGGTCTGCGTTAAAGAGGTAAGAACCTGAAGGGTTCACAGAAAAACGAATCATAGTCCACCCCTTAGTAACGATAAATCACAGAATTTGGGAATGAACCAAATACGTAAGATTCGAAACATTTGAAGAATATTTAATTTCAAACTGCACATTACGATGAAAAGGTTGTGCATTTTGTTTCTTAAAGTTGCGACTTTATCTAATGATCTATGGTGATATGATGACGATGATCTGTATCATCGATACGAGTATTAACTTGAAGTGCGTTTAGTTCCCGAAGTGGCAAAACAACAACGTCACCGGCGAGCTCGCGAAATAAGGAAAAGAAGGTCGCGGAACTGAAACCTGTTGTCGTGGCAAACGACGACGAAGAAGAGGTCGAGTCCGGGTACGTCAAAGAAAAAAGTAGTACAATTGTACTCGGGGGTTACTAATTACAACGGGATCGCTCCACTCCGCGAAACGTTAATAATCGAGTTTTTCAATTAACGACCGACCATCTTCGACGCCAGCTGCGTCACAGCATGCCTCGCTAAATAGGTTAATGAACGCTGTATGCTCAGTAATTTATCCGGATAAACTGAACCGAGGTTTCCACGTGCAACGATTATTGGCGCCAGTGGCATGCCCAATTCGATGGCGCCAGAATCAATAAGGCGACATTTTATATCGACATTCATATCGTCGCTCGTTTTTATATCGTCGCTATTTGCGAAACCAATTAATTCTTCCACGTAAATCATCGTTCAAATAGTGGTACTTAAATAATTATGGTGGAAGAGCTTATTATTTACTTCGTAAATTTCAGACACGACCTTCAGGATTATCCTGAAGAACGTTGTCACCTGAAAGCAATTTGCATGAAGTTAACCGATTACGTCAGCTTGAGGATCCTGAATCGAAGGAACATCAATCTTCAGTTTCTTGCTAATGGAAAGAGTATTAGGTACAAATGGAGTACAATCGACTAATTGAATCTGATTTACATAAGTATTTATCTTGGCTAATGTCACGATTAATTTCTTTACAGAATTGAATTGGGCACGATTTTGGATTTCAACAAGGAAGTGGGGTCGTATTTCGTGGACACCAGTTCCAAAGACGCTATGTTGGGGTAAACTACCTATCTGGAATTACGCTGATGATAGTGAAACATTTAACAAAATTTTCTCTTCGCGATAGATGGAATTTCGACAAATTGTTGTCATCCGAGCTAGAAGCGGACAGTAGTTTATACAAGTTAGCCAACGAATTGCGCGAAGTTAAGAAAGCGGCCAGACAACGTAAACTCATGATCGCCAAGTATAAACCGTACTTGCATTCGTGGAAATCATTGAAAACTCGATGTCGTCCGTGGTAACTGGAGTTTATTTGTCTTCAAACTTTTGTGTTTATACGTTTTCGAATTTCATTTGTCGACAAATTTTGTAGTGTTGCAATTATCGTGCTGAATAATATGTATCGAACTCTGATTTCGATTAGAAACTGGATCTTAAATATTTTTTTCGTTTAAATTTATTAAAAACAACCGAACTTTCGAAAACAACATTTGAAGCCCAGGTTAGTCACAAAATTTCAGCTATGATTCGACTATCAAGACGTTTGCTCGAGAGATCGAGAAACGTCACGGGATGTTGAAGGGATGAAGAAGAGGAACGCAGGTATAAATAAAAATGAGTATGTAATTAAAATAATTATGAGATAATCAAATCTTGTCTTAATGTATACATTCCTCGTGCCAGTGTAACGATGTATACAATATGAGACGCGCGCGAGTGCGTGTCCGTGTGTATGGATCCATGATCTAATCGAATCTGCCACATAGAGCATGGAGATCGGATGTATAATCCTGAGGAATGCGACGAGCTATCATCTTCTACCATCTATTTATTCGTTAAAAGCTCGAGCTCGACCTATACGATAAAAGCTCGAGTTCGACCTATACGATAAAAGCTTTCTCCACCATTTCTGGTTCACTCCTGTCTCGCGAAAGCAAAAGCGGGCTACAGTCAGAGCAATTCAGGGAATTGATTCTCCTCTACGTTAAGAGCTCGCGAGCTCTCAACAAATAAATTCATAATACTTGCTGCGAATCTCCGTCTGATCAATAGAACCTGCATTCCATCCAGAACCCAACACCCAAACTCCACGCTATACATTTCCTGTATACGCGTGTCTGTGTGTTTCTGTGCTAACGACACATACTTAAGCATATCCCCCACTCGGGGAATATGCATCCTTAAAAATCTTAAGTACTAAGCGAAGAGGAGGACGAAGTTAGACGACCAAGAAAGAATGGAAGGGGGAACGGAATATCTTGACAATAATTTCGATGAATAAATTAGGGTTAGATCGATCGAAAGGGGGTTAGAAACGATGCGATAGTTAAAGGGTTCAATAAATAAGCTCGCTTCGCGAGCGTACGATCAACCACGAACTCCGTGAACGTCGACGTGTGACGTCCAGCGTCGCGGCGACCTTCCACCACGGAAGGTCGACGACGCGAAACCCATGGCGCCGCGAGACAATGAGGTAAAACGATGTTGGAAGAAAAACAAACGAATACCTTTCGCGTACACGAAACGTACATGTATATATATATATATGTATAAATAATCAAGTGTACACACGCGCATCGCGAATCGAGGACGCGGGACTCGAAGGGACCCCGCACGTCTTGAAGGGCCGTCTGACTACTCTCGACTTATTTACAATGCCCTCCGAGACTGTTCTGGCGATCATTCGACGAACCTTGGCTTAGCAACACGCTGCTACTTACTGGTTACTGCGTGATTAGGCTAGCTTCATTTCTACTGCGATCGCAACGTGCCACCAAGTCCGATTCAAGGAATGCTTGGGAGTCTACGCTGCTGGGGTACGAATTTTTTAGCGTTGAGGACGGAGTGGTACTCTCTCTCAGACGATGGTTGTAAATAATTTTGCTATTTCTGAGGTTCGAGGTGTAATAGTAGTTGGTTCATTGGAGGATGGCAAAGATGAAGGATGAGCAACTCGTGAGCCACCAACGAGCATACACGCAGGTAACGTTAGAGTCATGGACGTTGGCATACTCGATGGTCAAGATACAACAATTCTAGACGTCCCAAGACGATAGACCAACCAACCTAAATTTAACCGGCACGGTTCTATAGTCGTAAGACTAGTACCACACTGGGAAAATCCTATGTAGCGGCTCGCACCTCGATATAGATCGCGTTTTCGTATCTTGACCATCGATCACCAGTCGAAGCGGTCACCAGTTGCCCATCCCTGGCGTAGAAAGTTCCCAGAGATACTGCTTCTTCCACCAGTATCACGCGATCCCGCAGCAGCGACAATTCTCCGGCATTCTCGATCTTTGATTCGTCCTCCATGTTTCTTTTTCTCTCTCCCGTGGAGTCGCGTTTCTAGGGCACATATTTACACGGTACCCGAACATTCTGCTCGTTCTGCCGAACGGGGAGGAGGCACACGTTTGGCCGAGCCTGAAGAGAAGAGAGCCGGAAGAGAATGAGAATCCAATGGGAACGGCGGGTTGAGAGAACTGGCGGAGGAGAACGAAGAGAATGTACGAGGTGACGCGGGCACAACGATCAAATAACATCCAAGCACGGTCTGTCCTCGAGAGATCGCCCATCCTCGAGTGTCTCTCGTCATCCTTCACTGAGTTCCTTTAATCTGCGACCTTTAATCTTATGATCATCTCGGCGGGAGTCTCAGTTGGCCACCTTCACGAACTCTGGATTGGGCACGCTGCAGTTCTCCGTTGCGTACGCCGGATGCACGAAGCTGGTGCCCGCCATACCGACGTTCTTCCGGTCTACGGCGCGCACCCTGACGAAGAGGAACGCCGCGACCAGCGAGGCGACGACCACCACCAGGAGAAGCATCACCAAGCCACCGACGAATCCTGGGAGGCTCATGCAGATCGTCTCGGGATCGGCGGAGGCGCTGGCGTTCTGAATCACCACCGTGGTGTCGTTGCTGGAGTTCGTCGTCCCCAGGGCGAAGTTCACGTCGCCTGGAGCAACCACCTGAATCGTCCTCGAGGTGTTCACGTCCGTCATCTCTTGGGCTGCTCGCTTGTACACGTGGGTCGAGACCAAGGTGACGGTTCGGTAGATACTCTGTAGAAGATATCGAGGAAATGAGTATTAGAGATCGGTATATGGGTTACTAGTAATTCATGTTTTAGATACGTTGTTAGAAACTAGTCCTACTCCTTAAAGGTGAACCATGATTAGGCCCTACTCCTTATAGAAGCATTTTATTCAGAGGACTCTATTACACCTAGAGATTTTTTAAAAATCTTCAAGGTAAGGACCATCGTTCAAATTGGGAACTATAGGCTAGAACTGATACTCACGGAATCGTCATCTTCCAGATGATCGAGGTCGTCGGACCTTCGCCTCCTGGCACCCCTAAGCTCGGCTGGAAAACCTTCTACCGACCTCGGCCGACCCCCGAGGGTGGCCAGGTTGCCCTCGAGCTCCTCGGAACCGGCGGTTCCCTTTCTCTTCACGGTCTGGTAGGCAGCCGCTGGGTGACCAGGAAGAGGGGGTGGAGGTAGGTGAATGTTATCCTGTGGACTTTGCGGCGAGCTGCTGGCCGTCGCGTCACCAGGCGTCGAACTGGGCGAGGAGGATGAGGTTTGCGCTTGCGGCGCCGGCACCACGTCTGCGTTCGGTTCGCTGTCCAAAAAGGATACGGAGTCAGAATCCAGGGTGAAATTGAATTTAGAGGGACTCGCTGCGGGACGTCCCTCGGATAGACGCCATATTGCCGTTAAGGGAATGCTCTTTTTAATTTTCATAATTTTCTTGAATCAAATGCACTTGTAACTTTCGAAATTTTGTGCGTTTATTTGTACAAGATTCTATTAAAATAAGAAATTTACATAATTTACATAATACTTTATACGTATACTTTGTACATATTGTACATTTATAAATTGAAATAATATGTATATCGTAATTTTGACATTGTTTAAATTTGATAGAAGTATCAAGAAAGGAAAAATCCCATTTTCTGATCTAGAAGGAAAAGAGTACCCCCTTCCAATTGGATCGATCTGGACTCACCTGTACGCTCCAGCAGGTCCGCTGGGGTGTCTGGGATCGGCAAACGCCGGTGGTACGCCGTACTCCGGTACCGGAGGCGCCCCATATTCCGAGCCAAGGCTCTGATGCACTGCTGCTGCGTATTCCTGAGATAAACCGTTGGCGGGAGCGCCATACTCCAAACCAGGATGTCCACATTTAGGCTCTGGACAGTTGTAGCGACAGACTTGTATGACGCACTGGAAGTGGACGTTCATACTGTCTGGGAACTTGAAAGCTTGGAAGTAGGCGAAGCTGACGACTGAAGCGCTTGGTCCGAAGTTCTTTATCTTTTGGAACCTGCGAGGAAAGAAGAGTTTCATTAATCATTAACAAGACATCCCAGCCTAAACAGTCCAAATCTAGGCTTTAGAGTCTATTACCAAACTGATCGATTCTAGTGCTCATAAAAATGATTGAACACTTTTCAAGTCGCCGTATTGGACCAAGAAACTATCCACGTAGAAGCAACAACTGAACGTCCACTCACCTGGACATAATCTTGGGCCTGACGACGCAGCCATACTGGTCCACCAGCTGAATAGGCGCCCTCTTGCCATCGTGAGCCACACAGTTCCTCACCAACATGTCGAATTTATTCTCGTCGTCCTTGATGGCCAAGACCATCGTCATGGTCTGTCCGATCTTCACGATGCCGGACACCTCGCTGGCCCACGGTCCCTTGCCGACCTGTATCTGCATCCAACATTGGAGATTGTCTCCCAGGAAGTTCGCCGTGACGGCGTGCAGCATGTCTACTTGGAACGGCCTGAAGGTCACGGCCTTCTCGTAGAAGTCGTACCAGGTGCAACGCAGCTTTCTCGCCTGGTCCCACACTTCCTGCACGTAGGGATCGTACTGAACGATTATGGTGTTCTCCACGTAGCTTCCCGACGGCGTGGGCGCCCCGTAGGCCGCCACGTTGTGGTTAGCCGAGGAGCTCATCCCGCAGGAGTTCAGGAAGATCTCGAAAGTTGCGCTCAGGTGGCCCGTACCCGGCTTTAAGTGAACGCAGTGAGAGTCCGAGTAGAAGCCCTTGCTGAAGATCATACCGTAGAACGGTCGATCGAACTCGATGTTGACGCGCATGTGCGTCTTCTCGCATTGGACCTGCAGGTGTTTTATTTGGGGTGTGTCAGGAGACGCCAGGGGCCAGTTCTCCTCGGCACCGTGCGTCACCGGGGGACCGTACTGTGCCGGGGCCCCGTAAACGGACCTGTGCTCCAACGGCAGCGCGCTGCTGTCGACCAATGGGGCGTCGCATT